TCCCTTCCAATCCCCATAATATCCTTATACCTAGGGTTGTACTTTGAGTTTTTAATTTTAGCTTCCGTTACCTGATTGCTTATATCACTCATACACTCTCTTATCCTATCCTCTACTAATATGCCTTGACTTCTCTATATCTCTAATTATTTTTCACTATACCCTAGATTGTTTAGAAATACATTCCTTTCCTTTTTTAACATCCCTCCTGTCTCGTTTTCATACGCTTCCTTATAGCACAGTTTCGTGAGCCTGTCCTCCTCCTGCTTGAACATTTTTTCATTAAACCTTGTTGCTACTTTTCCAATATGTACGCATAGCTTTTCTAAACCTGTTTCTTTCAACGATAGCAGTCCATTTGAATTCTTTCCAAAACTTTCCACTCTCTCCACCCAAAGATTTCGGCCCCGTAACTTATCGTTCTCCTAACTAGATAATCAAGGCCAACAACACTGTCATCTGCGTATGCTAGCGGCCACACCCTTACTTTATTAATAAAAATTCCTCCTACGTTCCTTTTTTTTAATACATTTTCTCACTCGGGAATTTATATGCAAAATAGAACCGGGCTTAACAGACATCCCTGTCTTAAACCTTTTAAAGTCCAAAATTCACCCGAAAGCCCCTCGTTACCCTGAATCCTTACCTTTATCTCAGTGTATAGTTCTTTGATTCTACTTATTAAATTTTTACTAAATCCCCTTCTACTCAATATTACCCACAGTTTTTCCCTGTTCACCGTGTCAAATGCTGCTTTAAAGTCCACAAACAGTGCAAATACTTTATCTTTCCCTCTTATCAAGTCTTCCCTTTGCACTATATGATTCAAAATGAAAATATTATCTACAGTCAATCTACCTTTTCGAAACCCCGCCTACCTCTCTGGTAGCACCCTCTTTTCTTCCATTTCTGCTAACAGCTTCACTTTTAGTATCTCTGTATGCAACTTATAATCCGTAGGAAGCAAGGATATTCCTCTGTAGTTTTTTTGGGACATTATTGTCCCTCTTTTTATACAAGGGGACTACTACCGCTGTGTTCCAAGCTTTTGGAACCATTTCCCCTTCATACCTTATTTAGTAACTTCCTTCACCCATTCTTAATTCCTGTCCCGGCGTAGATCCAAGCTTTGTTCGGTATCCCATCGTGCCCCGCTGCCTTTTTTCTTTTTGAATTCCTAATTGCCGTATCTAGATCTGCGTTACTTATGCCCTCTTCTTCATCCCCATTAACTCGTTTTCCCATAAACCTACACATTTCTCTCTTTTGCCTCCTAGAAGCTCCCTAAAATGTTCTTCCCATGCGTTCAATTATATGTGATTGACAACATTCTTCCTTTTTTTCTAAATTTATAGAGATATTTCCAAACGTCACTCTCGTACTTAATGTTTCTCAGCTCTTTGGCCTGTCTTTTTTTTCAAATCTCTTTCCTTTTCCCAGCACATTTCTTTCCATTCTTTCCTGGCCTTAAAATATTCTTGTTTTTCTACCCACCCCTTTTTCCACCTACTTAACAGCCTTTATGCCTTCCTCTTTTTATTTTACAGTCTGTGTCCTACCAAATCCTGTGACCTAATTTCTTTTCCCTGATAATTAACTCTTTTTTAATCATGGTACCCATTACATACTCGTTTAGTTTTCTCCACAACTCCTCTGTTCCCCCTGTACTAACACCTATACTTTCTTCTGTTCATACCTTGTATCATTCAATACTCTTCTCCATCCATGTATACACCTCTTTCTTGCTAATTCTTTGTTTTCTGCCTTCGTTAGCTTCTTGGCCGTCTATAACCCCACCCCCTACTGATACTTCTAGCGGAATTTCGTGCGACTCAATCCTATTTCCTACTTTAAATCCCTGAACAAACTCAAACATTTCTTATAATTAAAGTTCAATTTATATTGGATTCAGTAGAAATCCACAACCTTTCTATTCTCGGCCAGCGTGTAAGTAGGATTTTCCTACCGCTTTTTCCCCAAATTTGACACGCTAAGGGGGTATGAAATTTTGAGAGTAAGTACTTTGAGACTTCAATAACAACCTCTCAAAATTTCATTAAGTTCGTGATACTTTAGTTTCCTGGCAAACCACCTTAAGGTAGTTCTTCACGTAATCCATTTACTTTAAAGTAGTCTATCACCCATCACATTTTAAATTCAGTTACTTTGGAAAAAATGCAAGTCATTGATTAAATTTTTCTATTTGGAATAAATTATAAAATAATATTCCTTCCACATTGGTTTTCGAGATACTTAATAAAGTTGCAAGTTTAAAATTTGAACACAGGTTACAATGGAACTTTTCGAATGCAAGCAAAAAGAGCTACTTAAGTAACTAGGAAAATTCTGAGAAATATACCGTTAAAAAATTTACAATTCATACTATTTTATACAACTTTGAAACTGTTGGGTCACCAGTATAAATAGACAGTAGTGAATCATTTAACAATGGTCATGTACTTTTCTGCATACGTGAATGTCTCAAACATAAGGCAACAAAACAGCCGCAAGTATATGGTCATATGCAAGTGTGTGTGTGTATACACATATGCTATAGCATATGTATATGACGATCGCGAGCATGTTGCTATATCTCAGCCCGTAGGTGATAGTTTACCGTAACTTACAGTAAAACTTGAAGGGTTTGTAATAAAGGTATAAGGCATCTTCTCCCAAAATTTCAAGTCCCTTTATCAGGCAAATTTTCGAAAACGAATCAGTTAGAAAATGCACTTGTAACTTAAACTCTTATGAAGGTTAGTTTTCCATTCTACTATATAATGTAATATCTCGTAAAGTAGACTTAAGATCGGAATAAAAAAAGTTCGTAGTAATAGAAAACTTTTCAGTTTTATAAAAATATAACAAAAATTCGGGCGTATCAGGAAAGTAGCATAGGATTTTTAATCGTAGAAGTAAACATTTATCGATCAGCAAGAGTGAAATGTCTGCCGTATAAACGAGCAGACGCTTGGATTGCACGTGCCAATTTAAAATGATCTACTTACTAATATGCTAATAAGTTAATCAGTAAAATCATATTATGATTAATATTTATTAAAAACGATAATTAGAAAGTAGTGATTGGTTTCACCGTTAAATATTATTCAAAAGTAGGGTTATCCAGAGCATAAAAAAAAGTATTACCATACAAAACGTGTGTAACGTTTATTCCTGTGTTAAAAAAGTACATAAGATAATGATAACAAGAATCATATCAATATTTAGTTTTAAATTTATTAATAACTCATGAGTAATGAAAGTAAGTACTTATGATAATGAACCATGACTAGAAACATAAACTATTTCACTGACTAATAACCATAGAGATAAATATCTATATTGATAACAAAAACAAAGGTTAAGGCGTTAAGTTTGTGCGGCGGACGACGCTCGACGATTGTATTGACCAGGTGCACGTCATGCAGCGCCACTCTTGGTGTCAAAATCATGCAACTGCGGGTACCCACATTATACGTCAACAGTATACACCGATGCACACTTTTAGTAATTATTAATTAATTAGGAAAAAATTAGTCCTTTTAAAGTCCAAAATTCACCCGAAAGCCCCTCTGATAATATATGTAATCATAAAAACAGGCTTTAGGAATATCACAGGCTCGATTTGTTTTAACTCTGAAGCTTTAAAAAGAGGTAAACAGTTGGTTAAAAGTAGTCATGTGTGCGATGTTACAGAATTTCAAAGTGATGGAGTTAGCAATTTGACAAGTGCCGTCGTAATAAGGCAGACCTCGGTTACTTCAGCTCCTTACAAAGTTAACCTGCATGTACATTTTAAACCTAAATATGCTTTTTTGGGTACAACCACCTCTTTTCCAGAGTTTTGAGCATCTGACTCTTGCACTAAAAGTTTACACAGGGGTCGAAGGGGCGTGAGTTTCGAAAAATCAAAAACGTCGTCCATGGGACTCCCAATGCAAATTGAATAAAACAAATTTGTAGTGAAAAAAGGCTGTCATAGTTAAGTCGAAGTCCCAAATAAAATTAAGCTCGACAAAATACAGATAAAACTTCAGGGCAAGTTCGAGAGCAAGTTGCCAGACAAGAACGAAAGAAAAAAATTTATCAAATAAGACGTTCTATGACAGTAAATAATTACAACGACCAGTGGTGGTACTGTCATATTTTTAAAACAAAAACAACGCTTCGGCCGTTTAAACAACGTTCCGACTCTTATCAGGTAAAAAAAGCTAAGACGTTGTCCAAGCGGCCGAAACAATGTTTTTGTTTTAATAAATACAAAAATATAACAGTACCACCATTAGACATTGTTTTTAATGAGAAATGAAATTATAAATCGGATTTTTACCACTCGCCTTACAAAGCTTTTCAATTTATTTACTAGACGTCACAACTTTTTTCAGCCCTAAGTCGGGCTATACACTAATACAAATACAAAAACTGATACAAGTTTGTTGAAGTATTGCCAAAATATAAATTTTCCTAACAAAGTCGAAGTTATTAGTTTGTTCTTCTTAGTAGATATTGAAGGGTTCGTAAGTGAACTAGTCGTTCAGTTTGCTGTCTAAATGTGGTAGGGTATCAAATGTGTTTTCATATCGTATATATATAATATACACATATAATTTTTGCACGTTAATTCCAAAGAAACAGTGTTACCTCTACTAAAACCCATGTTCCCTATTTTTTCTTTATAGTACATGACATTGCGAGAAAAAATTAACCCAGGCTCAAGATTGTGCCTAAAAAAAATTATTTAATAATCAGGGGAAAAAGGGATATTTTGTGTGTGTATGTATATGTATATATTAGACACTTCTTTTGTATATTCCTTCTTTACCACAAAATTGGGACTCCTTGTCCAAAAAGCCGTTTAGTAATACAGTAATAGGTAGCCCCAAAAGTGAATATTTTTAACGATACATTTGTACAAATTTGTTTGTGAAAATTTTTGTAATTCTAATGTTTGTGAAAAATTACTAAAAAAAATACTTATTATTAGTGTTTTTTAATTACAGGGGAGCGCAAACAGCATCAGCATTTGAAACTGCTCAACCAGTAGGTTTCGAGGCAGGAATAAAGGCTGCCCAAGAGAGAATAATTGCTGCACGCAATACATCATTGATTCCAGCAGACATTCCCGTAGTAGCAGTGGAAAATTTCTTATTAGAAATTGGTCATAATAAATGGTTCGATCTTGGAGTTATCATCTTAGAGGACCTCAAACAGAATATCAACCTCCAAACTTTTACACAAATGACGCCCGTGCCTAGTCAAATTGTCGAAACAGCAAAAGAAACACCATCCACAAATATAAAAAGTGGCTTAACTGTGACGATTGACAGCTTGATGGGTGCTACATTGCAAGCAAGTATCCATTTCAATATCCCTGTCATTTGAAACGTTTATCTTCAATTTTTTTTTGATTGCTGAATTTTATAAAAGTTAAGATTTTTTAAAATTTAGTTAAGTAAGCGAGTTTTCTACCGATTTTTGTAAGCATGTTTTTTCAATCATTTTTTAACCCCGCTGATCACAAATAATAACAAAAAAAGTGAGAAGTTAAATACAGCAAAAATATTAGCGATCAACATCCATGCAAATCAATGTGCTAAACTTGTTTTGATCATTTTCGAAAATTTTTTGAAGTACATTTACGACCTAAGACCGAAAAAGTAAAGAAAGTTTTAAATTAATTGCTATCTAAAATAAAAACTATTTTTCCAATCAAAGGCGTAGTAAACGTTTAAATATCTTGGAATAAGCTCCGAGAAAAGTACAAATATTTACCTACTAAAAGAATGTAAGATTCAACTAAAAACAGTTAATTTTATACAGAAAAGTAAGATTTATTTATATAACACTCGTAAAACAACGGTAGCAATAACAGTACACTGCAGACCACTTAATTTTTTTGTGATGTCACTCACAATTTAGAGTTGATTCTGATCAACTCTACACACTTTTTGATTTCTTTGAGAAACATTCCGAATAAATTAACTGATCTCAGGTGTACATGTAATAGTAGATAAACAGATAGTGGTATTTTGTTTCAACAAATCGCAACAAGAAATGATGAGTTCTACTTTAAAATTAAGCACAATGTTTTATGGTTTCATAACTAAATTTAGCAAAAATTCGCGTGAAAACTATATTTAAGAATATATGGCATAATCCACTAAGTACTTTCAACTTTTCAATAATTCAATAGTCACATGCATAGGGGTATGTCAGTTTATGGTAAATTCAGTAAGCAAAAACTGCCGACGGAAAATATACTTCATATATACATATTTACAAACTCTTTTCTATCTCCTGGTTCGCTTGTTGTTACCCCGATGATCAATCCTCGGCCGGTGTACTTCGAGGTCTCGTGGGGGGAGAGGGGTGTTCAGGAAAAATGAAAGTACACTGCAAGGGTGTTGTTTTAATGGACAGTGATATTTATAGCTGTGGGTGGACGAGAGGCGGTGGTGGGGGGGAGAGGCTGATCGGGCGGTGGGAGGAGAGGCTGATAGGACGGTGGAGGGAGGGGCACGGTCGGTATAGGAGAGGTAGTAGGGGCGGTGGATGGTATGGACTACTCGGGCAGTAACGTCAGGGGAAGGGGCCTCTTCCGGATGCTGTGACGTCGGATGGTACTGACGACTCCCTTTATTTCTGACCGCGAATCGAGCTCCGACGTCATTAGGATGGGTCCGAAAGGTGTAGGTGACAAGCCCAACGTACAGCGCGAGAGGAAGATGATCAGGCATGAACGTGTATTTCTTATCAGTGGATGTAGCGGATCGCGTATCCCGTTTAGCTGCAACCAACGTTGGCTTACTCGACGCAGTACCTTGCCAAGGAATTCGGCCAGCTTATGAATTTAAGTTTGAGATTTTTAGGATAGTATGTAAATGGGTTTCAATAATAACAAAACTTTAAATTTAATACATATATATTTTTGGTAGCTTAAAAAAATACACAAGAATTTCATGGTTATTGATTTTTTTTTTCTTCAATATATCATATCCATCTTTATTAGGATAAGAGCGAATATTTCCGGAATAATTATTTCCCTTCACTTTTGGTTGAGATGCCTCAACGTGCTTTTCTAAAAGAGGTTTTCGGCTATTTTTATCTTCCTCTTCCTCCTCCTTACTGAGGCTCTCATATTTTGGTTTGCTAAAGATCGGACCCATGTTGTTGATGTTGACTGCTCAATCGTCACAGCATAACTGAAGCAATACGCAAATTCTCATCAGCTTATAAGACGGCGCTAATTTCTTTGTACTACCACATGGCAAGATATACTTTAATTTTTTGATCTTAAATTTTATGCTTACTTTATTCTTTTTTTTTTGTCTACACATGGTCATCGTTTTTGACACCAACATTAGTATTAGTTCCAGAGTCACTATCAGTATCAGTATCATTAGCATTCATTCCATCAACAGTATCCCAACTGGGAAGCGTTTTAGAAAATTTCTTCTTATAACTATTAAGCGCGTCTAAAAAACATTCTGAGTCTGGTTCAATGCTACTTTCCACCAAAGAGCAAAGCCACAATTTTATTTGATGAGCTTTACTAAGTGCGCAATATTGCTTTCTGCGTAGACTTTTTTGTACATCATGAGTACCACACATTAACGCCTTTGTTGAATATCCAATATAAAAAATATGACACGATGGCACCATATACTGCTGAATGTTAATCACAGTACACCCTATGGTCGATTCCAAATAAGTGGCTGTATTATCTTCATAAACGTAAATTCGATGTGCATTTTTTGCTACGGTGTACAAATGTTGCTGTAATTTTCTAATGGAACAATCACCCTCGAACCAGCGAAGCCCATGCATTCCTTTAATCAACAAAACTTTTAATCTTAATAACATAATCCTCGTAAAAATCCATTTTTATTTTGCAGCTCAAATGCGTCGTACTAACTGCGATATAAACGCGTATCCGTTGCGTTTGATGCTGCATGATGAACTCGGCAGGACTCTGCACTAAAGTTAGTTTATATACACGTTAGTGTAGGCACTGCGCAAGTGTGTGTTTTATCAGAATGAATCATCGGTTCTTAATATTTTAATCTTAAACTAGTTTTGAGGGAAAGGCTACATAAATAATAACAACAATATAATTCAATACATTTATTTATGACATAATTTCAAAAAAAATACAGTTTCATTGAGTTTTTTTATTATACATCTTCTTCAGAATCAGTAACATCTTCCCATTCCATAT